TGCCTCCTCCTGGCACTGGCAATTGCATAGAAGTACATCGTGTTGAGGTCTCTTTCTTTCAGCCACTTCGAATGTGACATTTGATGCTAATAAACCTCCTATGTCCTTCAAAGTTCCTCCAATTCTTTCACCTTTTGACACCTTAGAATCACACTCTGCTCCAACAACACCCTATTGTCTTGAACATTAAGATCAAACATCTCTAAATCAGCGAGTAATGTCAATCTTCCTCTTAATGTCAAACATATTTTCCTTCTTCCAGACCAGCAATTTATGTTTGACATTTAAGAGTTTTTTGTGAAGTTGATAATCAACAGTACCTTTCATCAATAGTATTTACACATGTACTCTTTATCAACTCCACAACCTCTTTTTCAAGCAACCAACCAGCCTCTACCTGAAAAGGCCTCGGACCACTCTCTAAACGTCCTGAGGTCAACAAAATTGGGCAATGGTCTGAAGATACCTTATGCAGAGCTTTGATAGAGGCCAAAGGGTAGACTTCCAACCACTCAGGTGAAACAAAAAACTTATCTAGTTTGGACATAGCCAAATTAGAGAGACTATTGTTCGACCAAGTGAACTTGGCATCTAAAACAGGAAGGTCCACCAAACAGTTATCTACAATGAAACCATTAAACAATCTCATGGTAAAATTGATAGGAGGGGCTGATAAACTTTCATCGGGCCTACGAATAAGGTTAAAACCTCCTCCAATTACCACAAGAAAAGAAAAAGAACAAATTAAAGTGTGCAAGTCGTTAATAAAAAGGCTCTTTCAAAACAGCTAAATAAGGACCATAGACATTCAACAACCCCCAAGAAAACCCCACTATTGGTCCCTTAAAACCTAATACGATAAAGTGATCCCTTACAATGATATCAAAATTAAACAAAACAAGACGGTCCCACAAAACCCACAACCCGCCATATGCTTCCACAACATCGATACCACAAAAACCCACAGCAGAATTACTCCAAACTTCCTTGGCCCCAGAAACACTGGGACTAAGGAGCTTTGTCTCTTGCAAAATTAGAACCACATGATTATATTTGGAGACAAAAAATTTGACATCCCTCTTCCTATTAGGATATCCTAAACCTCTAACATTCCAAGACATAAAATTTATTAAAAATAGGGGTTAAAAGAAGAGGAGGAGGAACCTAGTCCGCGAGGACCTCCCTAAGCACTAGCCTCGTTGGAATGCGCCACACCTGAGTCATCGTCAGACGAGCTAGAGGAAGAGGAATCCTCCGAGGGTTTTTGTGGGTCACGAAACACCAGCGGCTTGGAACTGGGATCCCGCGCCTAATCATGGGCTCTAATTCTCACCAAAAATCGTGTTCCTGTCCTCGGTTCCTTCACCTTCTTCCCAACAACAGCTTCCTTAGCTTTCAAGGACCCTGAGGAAACAATATTCCCTTTCACCGGTATATCAAACACAATTGAAACCACCCAAGAGTCATCTGACAGCTTCCCACTGATCATGTCTCTTTGAACCGCTAGATGTGATCTCATGTGAGCCTTAACCTTCTCCATAACCACTGATAATGGAACCTCTTCCATCCCCATGTCTTCCACCAATTTTGCAATCATAGGAACTTCCACCTTCATAGTGCTCAAGCCGACTTCGACAGCGTAAATTTCAATGATTCTCTGTCCTTCAGAATACCACCATCCGCCTTCTTCGAGTCCGTAGCGTCCAACAACCGTGGTGTAGTCGGGATTACCATCAACAGTGGCTGTGGCTCCAAGACCTCCACGTCTACAACGAACTCCTAGCAGGTAACCATGACTCCTACAATCGTATCATCGATAGCAGAGGAGATAGGCAGGGTCGCCACCTCTCCCACTACTTCATCATCTTCAATCACCACGATAGCCGTCGGATCAATGAGTAACAGGTCAAACCTCGTTCTCGAGCCACTTGATCCGGTGCCGTAGCACGAGTAGGAAGGGGATACATCTTGGATTGAAGAACCACTGCCACCACCACTACAAGGAATTTATGGACCAAAAAACCACCCCCACCTCATTGCTAGGCATTGTAAAGAAACAAGAGAAGGAATGCCACCCTCGCAGAGACCTTAGGTAGGATTTTCTCATAAGGCAAAGCAGTAAGAAAAGGCAAGTTGCTTTTTGCACATGCCATAGCCGAAAAAACCTTTAATCCCGATATCCCAGCTGTCCTCGAGATTTCGGGATGATCTACCTTGGGACAAGCCAAAACCGCCAATGAAACGTCTTGAGCAAATTTTGAAGCCTTCAACAAAGATGCACCTGTAGGATCACAACAACCGCCATTAAGCCGCACATCCTCGACACAACCATTTGGAATTTCAGACTTGGAAAATCAAGTAGAAGACGGCCGACCCTGGAGTAATGCACTACTTGAAAAACCTTCCGTCCAAGCCGGGGAACGCCCCACCTCAACCCAACGTTTCATGATCTTCGGTTTCACCTGCTTTTTGAAATTCCTATTTTTACGCCTCGAAATACTCTTAATTCCGTTAATGCATGGACGACAATCCAGCGAAAACTCAATATTTCCCGTTATGGATTTCGGCGGTGATAGATTACTCACAAATCATTGCTCTGGTGTATTTCCTTCGTCATCAGTAATGGAAATAATGAAAAAACTCGAGTCGAGATAAACAGAGATTGTCCTTGAGAGCAACAAACCAAGGCATTTACCATCCTTAACTCGCACAAACTTACAGATCAGGCTCAGAAAGGAGTCCCAATCCAAGTCAAGGAAAACACTAAATAGCCCCACCACCCTTTTGATGACAGATAAGTTCCAACACAATAGGGGTAGGCCCACCAACTTCAGCTATACCTTCGCCATAGGAACATAGGAAGAGTGATCCGAAGCTTTCCAATAATCTTATGACAATAAGCTCCCTCCCACCCTACAAAATTTGTTTTTCAAAGGCCAAGAAACCTCTTCAGCAGAACGTAATTTAAAAACAACCTTATTTGGCCCAATCATCCTCACATCCGGTGCGTATGACAAACTCCACCCTCTCTGAGCCCAATCAGATTGCCCAAAAAAGTCAGAGACCGGTGGTGAAAAAGACCCAGTACCATGAACCTCGTATTGATATTGAGCTGACGCTAAGTATCATGATCAATAACCAACAAAGGTGAAGAAGCCAAATGCCATACTAAAAAAAGAGTTAGGCACACCGCAGTCCACCGCCTTTCTCCAGTCCATACCACCACTGAACCACTAAACTTAACAAAAACCATAGACAACAAGAACTCCATCTTCGCTCCAACCACACAAGAACTCCACCATCCTCTCACTCTCCTTAGCTCTTGGAGATTGGAGAGTAGTTTAGGTGATTTGCTTAGCTTTCTTCTTTGTGAGATTGGATGTGAGAGGATAGTGGAGTTCTTGCTAAATCACCTATATCACCTAAATCACCATTTACTATAGGGTGCGGTTTGTATAGAGCCTAGGCTCTAAACAATCAAATTAGAGCCTAACTTTAAGTAGTGTTGAGAAAATGTGATTTCAATACTGAAAACTATTGTGATATTTTAAAATTATATTTTTATCTTTATTTATAAGTTTAAAGCCTAAAAAATAGTGTAAATGGACAAATCTATCGAAACTTGAAAATTGACGGATAAAAAAATGAGTTATAAAGTACACTATTTTCTAAAATTGAAATCCTTTTTTTCTTACGTCCATGCATCTTGATGTGAGATGATCAATTGGAGGACTTCTAGTGAAATTTTTAAGATATGTTGTAATTTGGGGAAATGATTTAATGCAACGGTTGTATAGTAGTATAATGCAACCACACCTCTAAAAAACAACATTTTTGGCATTTGTATGACCCCAAATTTTGCACACACATTCTATTCATCCTCACAATCATTCCTACTAAAAAGAAATTCAATTTGCATCCTAGGTATAGTCAAAATTAGTACCATCCAACAATGAATCTTGACTATCCATTTGGTGAATTTCAAGATCTAAGCTTTAACAAATTCAAAATCACTTTTTTATTTTTTAGCATTATTAATCTAATGATGATAATAAAAATTTTGAGAATAAAAAATCCTTTTGAAGCCTATATCTAACCATCTCAATAAAATGGACGGCTTATATTAATTGGGCTAGAATGAAAACTTTCTAGAGCATTTTTTCAAAAATTTCTTTGTTGTTATTGTCCTTTTGAAAAGAGTGTACATTTAAAAAAATTGGGAAAATATCTCTTTATCCTTTATTTTTAACTTCCATATCTCACGAGACCCAATAATTAAAAATATTCCTTGTAAGCAAAAAGTCTCTATTTTTTTTAACTTATAACCCCCTGAACCCCTTTGACCATAAATTTTTGACCCAAACAAATACTAAAATGACATCTTATTCAAACTATATATCTCTCTCTCTCTTCGCCTCTCGATGAGTTTATTAGCCAAGGGGTTTAGCTTGAGCTCGAACACGAGCACACCTTATGTGTGAGAGAGAGATAGAGTTTTAGAGAGAGAGAGATAGAGTTTTAGAGAGAGAGAGATAGAGTTTGGGTTTTAGAGAGAGATAAAATTTTAGAGAGAGAGATATGGAGTTTAAGTTTTAAGAAAAGAGATGAAGTTTTGAGAGAGAAAGATGATGATGTGAAAGAATGATGAAATTTGGGTTTTAGAGAGAAAAAAATTTAAGATAGAGAGATGGATATATAGAGTCATTTTATAAGTTGTTGAGGTCAATAATACATAGTTAAAAGACTTTAGGGGGTTGAAAGATAAAAAAGATGAAGTCATGCTTACAAGTAATATTTTAACTTCTTAGATCTGATAAGATATATAAGTTAAAAACAAAAAATAATAAGATATTTTTTTAAAAAAATTCAAAATAGATAAGAATAAGATATTTTTTCTTTAAAATCCGTGCCAAACAAATGTCTTTTAGAATGTTTTTTTTTTTTTAAAAGAGGGTTGCATTATATTAATATATATACTGTACAACCTTTGCATGAAATCGTTCCCCTTTTACTCCCACACACTCACTCTTGGTGATAACTTGTTTGATTTGGAAATTCTAATGTTACTCTCTCTCCCTCTCTCTGTATCTCTGACATTATATTAACCCCTATTTCTCAATTTTCATAGTGAAATTGGTCTCTCAAAAACCCTAATCTCTCTATCTCTCTCGATTCGGTTCACTGATTTTTCTCTCTCAAGTTTCATGCACTCGATCCACCTCCTAGCACTATTTCGACTTGGAAACTGTTCATCATGAGCAGTAATTACCCTTTATCGAATACAAAAAGACCTAATTTTATATGTTGGTCACTGAAATACTGATAAATTCAGGAGGGACGAGCTTGGTGATTCATTTGAACAAAAAATATGATTACTCGCTCAAAACTTGTTGAGCAGTTAAGAGAATACCAGATTCGATCCCAACACAAGTGGGCTACTCTTTCTCTATTTTCACCCAAGACCCATATCTCCACCAGGTAATTATTATTTTTTCACTTAATTTTAGATGAATTCATACCATTTTCATTTTCAAAATGGAATGGTTTTAGATATTTTAGATGAATCTATTCCATTTTTGAGTTAAAAGAAAAAAGGAATTTATTCCATCTTCATGGTGAGAGCTATCAATGTAGTAAAAGAAAATCAACATGGCGTTGTTATGTTTTATTTTTCTATATTTATTGGTCTTATTGAATATTTGTTTTCCTGATGATTGCATCCATTGAGTTTATTTTGTTAGAGTTCTAATTACTGTTAGTTTCTTGAAGTTCGTTGGTAAGATCTTTTAGAGGAAGGTTTTCGTTAAAAGAATGGGAAGTAAGCTTGTAAAGATCAAAATAGAGAGGAACCTGAATAAGATTTTCCCACTAAATGTGAAAAATGTATTTTTTCTTATTTGGTTGGGAGGGGGTATAAAAATAAAATGAATAAATGAAGGAAATCTTCATAGTTTTAAAAAATTATATAATGGATTTCAACCGTTCAACATAAATAAAATTCATTGATATGAACGATTTCAAAACAACAAAATGATCTGAAGAGTTTCTACATAAACTATTATTTTACTTAAATATAACTTGAACAATAAAATTAAGATATTCAGCATGAAATAAATTAAAATATAGCACTGCCCAAATTTATAGCTCACAGATTGTCAAATTTTACGTTTGAAGTGCTTTATTGTCAATAAGTTGGCTATTCCCTACTAACGCAAATCTTCTTTTATTATCGATGCTTTTCTCTAAGAATAAAATCAACGAATTGAAGGATTCACCTCTAACATGGACTTCCATGTACTCATTATGAGGCAGATTGTCTGGAATCAATCCCACCTTTAACGAGTTCATTCCATTTAATAGAAGGCATTCATAAAGTTAAATTAATTATTGAAGGGCCTCGAAGTCTTTACAGATCCAAGGTTTTAGGCTCTCTAAGTTCCTCGTGTTATCCTTTTCTGTCACTTTGTCTGCCTTTCTCATACTTTTACTTCTCCTTTTTTCCTCCTCAATTCATGGTATATGTCTCAGATCATGTATGACTTGATCTATTTATATTTCTAATTAATGTAAGTGAATTATAAAAAAATATATAATGCATATAATAATGTGCTGGGTTGAAGGGATGCACACAGGTGGCCATTTCACCCTTCAATTGCAATGTTTCCTACGCCCTTAATGATAAAATTGGTAAATAAGCAATTGTACAGAAGGCAATAGAACAGAGTCCCTTCAATAAATACAAAATCAAAGCATAATCCTCTCAATTATAAATGACAGGTTAGTCTTGGCAAATACAGTAGATAGTGTGGAAAGCTTATCATTATGCTGCATACAATTAAGATACTGCACATTTGACAAAGCTATATAGCTTTGAGTTTGTGAAAATGGGAGAGAAAATTGCCACTTTGTCCATCCACTGATCAAGAAGCAGCTAACTTACTTTCATGTATACCAAGATTGGATTAGTCCTCGAGTGTGCCATCCTCTGATGCCGGATGTTTCGCTTAGTTGCTTTATACTGTCATTCACCTTGGTACGCTCTAGGTCATCTTTTTGTTTTTCCCTTCTTTTTTTTTCTTTTTTTTTCATTTTTAGGTGTGTAGGAAATGGCGCACTCTAGTTCATCTTCAAGGGCCATCTTGTACAAATTGTTTTCCTCTGGAGTTGCATAGATTGCCCATATGATTATATGAAAGGACTTTAGACGCCCTTAGCTTTAGTTATTTTTATATTGTAAATTGCAAGTGACTCATTCAAAGTCTTAACAGGTAACAAAATGACAAATTAGTGCTTACAACATACGTTATTAAAAATTGCATATTTGATAAATTAATCCTTTGAAATAATTTTAGATGGGGAGGATAACACTTTGTCCATAGACATTCATTAAGGTGTGACCTAGCTCGGGTTTGACCTGGTTCTAAGCTGAATCTCGAGAGTCGACTGAGACCAGAAGAAGAAGAAGAAAAAATAAATAGATTTCTTACTGGTCTACGTCATATGAAAAACTTGTTGAGTCTTTACAATTTCCACTTGTTTCAACTTTCAACTCTTGGTGAGTTCATGTATTTTAGGACTCGAGAAATATCCCAGCAAAAAACCGTACTCTCTACTCCTATACCTGAGTTTTAAATTGTAAACATCGATTTTTATTTATATCAACACTAAGAATCTATTAAGAATCTATTTTGGAGTGGTGATCTTTTGATGCTACACATTTCTGTGATGGACTTGGAAGGCATAAAGTCACATGCAAATTATCACCTACAGTTCCACCTACACTGGAGTCAATACAAACCATTTGGACTACTGTCCACTATGGCTTTTGGTCATTGTGCTTGCCCTACCCTAAAGTTGCAGATATAGTTTGGCCCCCTTAAGTCCAACATGCTCTTGGTCATTATGTGCCATCTCTCTCAACCATAGCTATTATATTGAAACCTTAATAACATGTTACTCATTGTGCATCCACTTGGCTTCCTGTTAGGCTTGTGTTGTCATTTCAATCTTTTTGAGCATGTTGATTTTCCTACCTTGTTTTCTAAGCCCACCAGAACAAAATAATTACATAGTCATCAATCATTTTGAAGAATTAACTTTATTTAAGTAAATACATCTCTTGGATATATTCTTTATTTTTTGGGAAACATTGCCAAGTTAGGGAGGGATTTTCAAAAGGAACATTCTTGCTCATGGAAAACTAGATTACTAATCTCAAGTTCCTGCAGCATAGGAGGAACTGTAATATAAGCAAGGTTGCCATGTAAATGACATAACTTACATTCAAATAAAAAGGGAGCCCAACTTATTGCAGCTTAATAAGGAATACTTATATTTCTCTCTTACCATAGGAGCAAGTGTCTGTTCAAATCAATGCCTTATTTAACTGCATACATCACAACCATTCATGTTTTATATATGTTCACTGCTCCTTCTGCCTCGATTTTTGCCTCATACACCTTCTTGAGGCCTCCGTAGATTCTGTATCCTTGGGCGGAGGAACTAGTTTCCGTGTAATTTCTCTCAAGTTTGCATCTAGCTTTCTCCAGTTCTCCCTCATAGGATGCTTTCAAAGTAATGTGTTTGTCTCGAGTGCAATAATACTTAACCATAATGCTTCTTGAGTGCAGTGCTGTCAAAATAATGTGTTCTCCTTGATAATGCTTTAAAGGGGACATGCTCTCGCATAGATTAATCTAGCAAACAGATGAAATAGAGACATTTGAGTGTAGTTTATTTTAGTACAAGAAGGTCTATGAACCTCAATCAGCTGGGGGAAGTAGAAGTGGGGGGGTCACGAGATCTTGGAACTATAGTTGGTTGTTGAATTGGTGAAAGAGAGAAAGACCCAGCTTCTTTACCCACATTGAGTGTAGAGTGTGAGTGGGAGTCCTCATATGGCAGCTTTAATATGACATACACACGAGGAAGCTCACAGTGAAGGAAAGAGTATCTTCCCCATTCATAAGAATAGACATTTGTACCCTATCTTTTATTTGCAGTATATCCATGAATACATATTCGGTTCGGGTAACATGGTGGCTAGCTTGTAACAAAGAGTGTTGGTGATCTACATGTAATCCAACCTGTCCAACTCCAAACTCAATGGATGATGGATGTCTCAAACTCTTACACAACAACTTCCTCCAAGAAAGGGGTCTGAGCAATAAACCAGGAATATAAAATCCATGTATTGATCATTCAAAGATAAGAAAATGGTAGAATCTTCTGAATTTCAGAAACTTGTGGCCTTTTCTTGGAGACGCTGAAGCTTATTTTTTACCACCTTTGGCCTGCTTTGAAACAAACTAAAGTTGTTGGGTACAAGAGAATTCACCTCTAGGTCCCTGGGAGCGAAGTTCTGACACCATATCATAGAACACCATCAATATTCCGGAGAATAATGTTAGTTTTCATTCCAACTCATGAGAGAAGATATGTCAGTAAGCATATCCCTTGCCTGTATATAAATACCATTGAAGAATGAGAGGATAACCATAGCACCATTGACATGACTATTAAAGCTAAAAATGAATAATATGAACATACTTTCTGAACTTTGGGGAGTTTTATTGAAAATCAGGGACCTAGACCCACATACTTTCGGCCCCTTTTCGTATTCTGTTCTTGCTGGCAAGGCTTTTGGGTGGAATTTGATCAAAATTTTCAGGACTTAAACCATGACTCTATTTAATGATTGGATTTCCTGGCTATTGGTTTATTAATGTGTTTACCAATTGCTTTTGAGTTTATCTCTAGACATAAGAAGCTTAATTATTTAAAGTTATTTAGTTAGGAGGCCTATTATATGGTGTGGATTGCTGAATGTTACTAATCCCCTTGTTCATGGCGCAGGGGTGATTTAGTAACAGCTCTTCTTTGGGCCTTACTTTTTCTCTTACTGATAACATCATCATCTGTCGCCCTCTACTTCCGGCACTTGTGGGGTGCCTTGGTTCTTGTACTTGTTGGTGTTCTTCTCCTTATCCTTCTTGAGGTTGTCAGCAGAATTCGGCTTGCGAGGAAGAGAAGGCGAAGAATGCTCTTACCTCTGTCCATGTGAGACAGTATCAGATATATACAAAAGACGAGGCTCGTCAGTCTTCATTAAGGGTGGTTTCTGGTGTGTTTTAGAATACTGTATTCTAGTGTATAACCACAGTTTCGGATCCAAAAGTTGTGATATTTAACCACCAACATTACCATACAAGATACCCCTTCATCTTGATTTCTTTTGTCTTTCTTTAGTATCTCTCAAATTTTAATGTATATCAATCTTAATAAGTGGATTTGCTCAATTGTACTGGCTTCAAGATGAGTTCTTATATATGTTTATATATGTTTCTTGAGGATATTTATGGTTCCTCCAAAATCAACTATGTACTGTTGGATCTTGTCATTCACTTTTTCACGGGAGCTTCATGGATGAAGGGTAATTCAATTCGAATAGTAGGAGTCTGTTGGATCCTAAATTTTGCGCACATGTATCACTCGATTAGGCTACCAAAAAATATTGAATTAACATAAAAAAATGGGGAAAGAAGTCCGCCATTTTTGTGAAACAGGGGCCGTCCATTTGGTGCTTTCCAGAACTCATTAAAAGTTTTTTTTTTTTTTTTTCTTGAAATTGTTTATTTTGGAATCATAGATTTCGTGCAAAATTTCAAGCGAAAAGATCCATCTTTTGTTTTTGGAGTGTGTAGCCGTTGGCCCCTTGGTTTATGGAATGTTCTTGCTTGGTTTTAATATTTGGTATATAACTGAGTCATAAATACCCCCTCAGGTTATCTCTTGAAACTTGAACGGGTGTTTTCCTTTTTTCTGAACTTTAACATTTTACTTATTTTCAACTACTCCAATCATGTGGATTATCTAAAGTGCATATCTGCTATGCTCCTGCGGGAGCATACTGTGCAACTACTCCCATGTGGAAAACACCTATTTAGGAAGATTATTTAAAATTTTGGAAACCACGTGGGAAGTTTTAGATGATTTTTTTTTTTCTTACTTATTTTCAAATACTTCAATCATGTGGATTTTTTAAAGGGTACATCTACTATGCTCTCGTGGGAGCATACTGTGCAATTACTTCCTTGTGCAAAACACCTATTTAGGAAGATTATTTAAAATTTTGGGAACCACAAAATACGTATTAGATGTTTATTTTCAAAAGAAAAAGAAAATTTAATATTAGATGTTTATTTTCAAAAGAAAAAGAAAATTTAATATTGAGTTTTGTGACACTTAGATCTAGCCCTTCAGAAATTTGACAGGCTTTATTCACCTTGATGTGTTTTTTTTTCATCCAGTCTTTATTCACCTTGATGTGTTTTTTTTTGCTTCTAGTACATAGAGTTTATTTTGGATTTTTTTTACTGAGATTAGTTTATGGGTTGTAGTGATTACATCCCCAAATTTTGAGATCTAAAAAGTATTCATAGCATGTGTTATATGCCCGAAGAAGTAAATAGATTGTATACTTATGTCGGAGTGGGAAATCTTTTGGCTTTTCTGAATTGAATTAAAAAATATAGCTAAAATGTTAAATAGTTGATAAGTTAGGTGTGTTTGATAAATTTCCTATAATCTACCTAGGTAATAGATGCATCAGCTCTATGCCGCGCTGATGTTATAGTCAAGTAGAGCATTTGATTTCTTTTATTAGGAACTATAATGGTGCAATTGTTGGTACATGTGTGTAGCCATGGGGTTTTTAACCGTGTTATTTTTCTCTATTTTATAATTTAATCTTTATCACTAAAATAGAAAGGCTTTTTAGAGAGAGAGTAAGTGTTGTTATATAATGGGTAGAAAATAACCACCTACCTCCCAAGATTACAAGGCTACGTTTATCAAAGATTTCAGAAACTCAATCAAACGTTGGAGAACGGCCTCCTTCCGTCCCTCTTTAAGAAAGGTTTCATGGTCATGGAGAGGAAGACCATATAATCAATTTTGAGTTCTAATTATTCTGGGAAAAAGACCCGATCTCTGCGATCTCAAATCTCACAATGCTGTCAGTAATCCTAGGAGAGAGTTCCATCTCTTCCCTAATAATCTAACATATGTACCATATGTAATCATTCTAATGTATTTTTAATATAGGGAAATTTATTAAAATGTACCTCAGAGATAAATTATTTAACAATGGGTGTGGTTTCTATAAGGTTGCAACCTTAAACAATCAAATTACGGCGCACCTTCAAATTTTATCATAACATATAAGTTTGGTGTACAAAATTATTATGATTATCTCAAAATCTATTTTCATATCTTACTATAAAACTTTAAAATCCAAAAATGGTAAAAATCAAGTAGATCTATAAACATATTAAAATCTTGAAAATAGACGGTCTAGATAATGTGTTGCAAGATGCACTATTTTTTAGACACGAAATCTTTTCTTTTTTTTTTCAAATTCATATATCTCGATATCGAGATGATCAATTAGATTTTCAACATTAAAATAACTTTTTTCAATGGATTTTTGAGATGTATTTGTAATTCTACATTTGAAGGTTGCAACCTTATATAAACTTTTTCCTTTAACAATTTTTCCTTTAACAATTTATCTATATCTTATAATTTAATTCCAAAGTTGAAAATACCAATAGAAAGGTTTAGTCTCTCCCCCCACTTCTATTTTTGTTCCAAAGGTGAAAATCCCAATCTAGAAGTTTGGAGTACTGGGGTTTTGCACCAATATAATACATCAGTGGTTGGTATATCGGGGCTTAAAACTGTAAAATAAATTAGTATTTATATTTTTCAGAAAATAAAATAATTTTTTATTACCCGGTACTTAAATATGAATGAAGAACTTCATAATTGACCTAATGGTAGTGCCATTTTTTATTTAATAATATATTTAATAAAAATTTTCTAAATTTGTGACTCATTCCAAACCATTAAATTTGAAATCTAATTAGTAGGAATGATTGTGATATTCATGATTTCTTAAATACACAATTAATGATTTTTTTTGAAAAACAATATATAACAAATTTTATATTTCTCTTTTTCTAGAAAGAAAACATTGAAAAAAAGATATACATCCAGTTTCATCACTTTACTTTTGAGACTTTCTTTGTTCTATTTGCGGTTTTGGGCTCCAAATTTTGCTGAGGCTAAGTGGTCAGCATCCAAAGGCACCATAGCATGATCTCTTGAGTTTCATTTTCAGGGACTCCATCTCTATTGAACTACCTAAACAAAAACAAATGTCAAGTGATATTATACTCCCGCGGGATTATACCGTTTATTTACTCCCTTGGGTAAATCCCTCTCTAAGATTAATTTTAAAACCCTAAATTTAGGGGATGTAACATCTTTAACCTATATATTAACATCAATAATAATAAAAAAAAAACCCCAATTGTACTCTTTATGCACTTGAAAAAATAATGTCTCAAGATTGAATAGAAACCGTCCAATTTTTTGATAGTGAGATCTAAGTGTTAGAAAACTCAAATTTTAAAAAATTTTCTTTTGAGAATAATTATCTAGTTATTCTTAGGTGGTTCCAAAATTTAAGATTTGAAAAAAAGTCTCCCACATAGGTATTTTGACCGAAAGAGTAAATGTATTGTACTCCTACTGGAGCATAATACACCGTCTTCTTTAATAAACTTTATAATCAATGCCTTTAAGAGATTTAATTAAGATGGAGCACATGTACATACTTCTCACAAGAGCACACTATGCACTTATACACTTACTCCCCCATGCAAACGACAATATGTGGATATTTTTCAATTTGAATTTTCAGGATCCATTTAGTACTTTCAAAAAATAAAATTAGAATAGAAACAGTAAGATCTAACCATCAAAAAATAAGACCGTGATTGTTGAATCTTTTATCTTTTATGATTTTTTTTTGAGGGGAAAGGTTTCTATACTTCCCTACAGCATAAACGTTCTATCCTCCCCCTACCATCTAGCTGTCCAATTTTGATTAAGACAGCCACTTACTGTTTGATCTTAGCTCCAACGTCTCAAAGGATTTTATTTTTAGTTTTTTGTTATACAAGTTTTATGAATATTAAATTTGGTATATGCCATCTTCTCATTGGGGCGCACCCATAAAAAATATTAAAAATAATTTTTTGACAAAATATAATGACCAAAATACCCCTTGAAATTTTCAGGGGTATTTTGGTAATTTTATTTTATTAAAAATATATATAAATATATATTTTTCGCTCGTGTGAGTTTAATAGGAGAATAAACGTCCAAAATTTGGTGTCAAAATAGTTTATAGAAAAAAATTTAAAAATAAAATAGTGTAGAGACGTGACATTGTTATTGAAGCAATCTTAGCTCTCCATTCAGAATGGATGGTCGAATAAGGGGGGAGGATAGAACTTCTATGCTATAAGAGAAGCATAAAAAGCTTGCCCTTTTTTGGAGCGCCTAAAAAGTGCCATATATTCATAATTCTTTTTCTCGGTCACCGTTTGGTTTATATGGCAGGAGAGAAATCATCGAATCCATGAGAGCAAAGTGGTCCCTAGGGAGAGAACCATGTATGACATTGTTGAGACGGCAGAGGTAACGACATGATCCTTTCAGTTAAAGTGAGAAAGCTATCATCTGCAACCCTAAATTGAAATGGATGCAGGCACCTGCCTCTACAAGGTTCATTGTTTTTTGTTGTTTTCCATCTTTAGATGGTTTCAAACTAAACATTGATGGGGCTTCTTTGGGGAATCAAAGTAGATGAAGAAGCGGGGCAGTTATTCAGTTATTCGTAATCATTGTGGTAGATTTCTGGCAGGTTTTTCAGTTCCAATTGGCTTGGACTCGAATAACGTAACGGAGTTTATGGCTTTGAGAAGTGGTATTCAGCTAGTTAAAGAGCTTAAATTCCCTATGGCCTTGTCTGGTACTAAGTGTTCCCTTTGGCATTTTTCACACTTGTTCATAACTGTCTGTGGCATTTTTGGGATGTGCATTGGACCATGAATCATGTTTTTAAAGAAGCACAACATGTTGTTGATGCATTAGTAAAGTATGAAGATGCTCGGAGGCTACAATTTGGCGTTCTCGTCTTCTGGATTTCTTGAGTTCTTATGTTGCCAATATTCCTTTTCTGAGGGTCTTTTGATGTATATTTTGCGGTAGCTTTGAACTAAATAATGAAAGGGGTAGGGGTCCCCGATTCACCAGAAATAAATGAGGTCGATGGCGTGATGAAGGAGGTTACATCTCCAAAATTTACCAGTTCAGTGGAGAATGAATATATGATATGTTTCCGCAGAAACAAATAGTCTTTTAGCACTATAAAAGTCATACAAGAAAAGAAAATCTATCAAAATACACCTAAGAAATGAACTATTTAACATCTTACTCATC